AGGAAAGTATTTTCCTTCCTCAGGTGAGCCCAATTCCACAGCAAGGTTAGCTCCTGCAGAGCCCTCTGGGGCCCACAAATTCACTGTAAAGCAGCAAAGTCGCCTGCCTTCTCCCATTACAGTGACAGAGATAAACTGTACATCTGTTTATCCAGCTGATCTCTCGACTTGGGAGGCTCGGGGAAATCAAGACTCGGTCGTACAAAGATTGATGGTGCCGTCAGTCATGAAACAAGTTGGTAGCTAACAGTGGGAAGGTGAGTCCTCTCACATTGTGGGAAAGAAACCAGATACCCTCGTATAAGTGACTGGAACCCTATTCCTTCAAGCAGGAAGGTTTTATATTTTGCTATCTGAGAGAGAAGAGACCAGAGTTGCCTTGACAAGGGTTTACATTTCTGCCAGTGCAAACATCTAGGGAGGAGAGGGTGACAGCAGATGAACGACTGTCACACGTACCTTGCCATAAAACACAACTTGGGAGGAGATGCTGTGTTTCTCCTAGAGTCACTTCTCTGTCTTTCTACATAGGAACTTAGTCTAGTCTGAGCAGAAGCCTACCAGCACTCTACATTTCTTCCAGGCACAGTCTTCTGAGCCTTGTTTCTATGTTCTTGCTGCAAATTTTCAGCACTGCATTAAAGGGAATACTTTCCAAGCTGCACTAGACAGATAGAGAAACCATCCCCAAGCTATTCACATTGAAGTAATGCCTACTTCCTGAAAGCAGAGAGGGGAAAGTATCTGCCTGACAAAACTATCACATAAGACGACATACTACAGGGGAAAACAACAAAAATGCACTATTTTGTGAAAAGGTCTTGCTACTTCAGAGCGAAATAGGAGGCAGTAGAGCGTGACGCTGTCGAAGTTGCAAGTGGATGATAGTAGGAAGTTTTGCTAAACATAAAGAGTGAAGGTACGCAGGGAGAAAAGCACCATGTCTTCATCTGCACAGGTCTAGCAAGCACACCATCAGCTCTAATCTATCCTGAAGGGGCACAGCACTCGGCAGGTAGGGAGAGACACGTGCACAAACCCCCGCCGCGGCAGCGCGAGGCTCGGCCGGGCCGAGGCCGCTCACCTGCAGGACGATGGGCAGCTGCTCCGGGGGGTTGCGGTTCTCCACCCCCATGGTCAGCCACACCTGGAAGGCCGTCAGCTGCTCCGCGAAGAACGGGCTGTGCTGCTCAAACGAGAATACGGAGGCAAGGTTTGTTTCTGCAGAACAGGCACATCTATAGATGTGAGGAAGGTTTTCTTAAATAGGTATACTCTAGCTTTAAAAAGTTCCCTACCGAATGCTGCCAAAGAATTAGAGGGCCAGTGGAAATTTCACACAGACAGGCCCAAACAATCATGCGTTATTTTACGATATATCTGAACAGCATCCAGGAAATACGGAAGATGCCAGCATGTGACATCTCTAGACAGAGAAATATGGCTTAGGGACAGCAAATGCAAGTAGAGAAAATGCTGCACACTCTGTAAAACACGATGTTACTATGTCTTACTCTGAAAACATACGATCCTGTGGGTGTGCCAGGACCTGGCTGATGAAATAGGGAGTTTATTTACTTAGATCTGACATCCTGCAGCACACTACATTTACATCACTGGAGCCTGCACAAGTCTGTAGAGCATCTCTCTTCTCCCAACTCCAACCGTGACCGGCCTGTGGATGTTACGCTCGCTCCCCAGTGTCCTATTGCACGGTGCACACGCAGAGAAGTCCTCGGGCATATCGGCAGCCCCAGCTGGGGCAGCAAGGCCCCCAAGGCTGGAGGAAACATTCCTGCTGCCATCTAGCACACCAAGTCTATAAAGCAAAGCAGGCAGGAAAAAGGACTAATCAAAGGACACAGCAACTTCCAGTTAGAAATCCACTGGGAAACAAAAAAGAGGGGGGAAGAGATGGGAGGAGGGAAACTAAACCAGACAAAATGACCCCAGAAGCCTAATCATTCCTGCAGCCTCCTCCCATAAGAGCGCGCTCAGCCTGCAGGCTCTTCTGCATCGGGTTATCCTGTTTCCCAGTCTGACTAGCAAAGAACACCTGGAGAATAAGCAGAAGTCAGAAACACGTGGCTTGTAACGTGCTGCTGAAACAAAGCAGCCCTGCAGAGATTACAAATTGCTTTATCCCGAGCTGGCCGGGACTCTAAACCCCGAGCGGCCAACAAGGCCGAGGAGCGACGGCAGCGGGGTAATCCTCCACCGGTGCTGACAGCCAGGCGCCGACTGCTGCTCCTGCCGGTCCGTTCCGAAACGGGCCGACTAACCTGAATAACGCAACTCTCCTTCCCTGCCTTGCAGTAAACACCAGTCTCTCACATGATTCCTGTTGGCTAGCAGCAGCTAACCTCCTCTGATATACAACATTTCCTGCTGGGTATAAATCAAGAGGCTGGAGAGTAAAATAAAATGTTGATTAGAATAGATCAGAGGTGTGCAACTATCTGTCTTCTCCAACCGTCTGTCAGAGCCTCCCAGTACAGAGCTAAGCCCCCTCCACTCCCACCCCAGCTCAGGAACAAGCTTCAGGCCCTTTCCGCAGGCCTCTGCCCGGAGACGTCCAACAGGTTAACAGCCTCGACAGAACCGGCACAAAACTGCGACGTATGAATCATGCAGGATTTTAAATAAAAGACAGCATAAGGAAGAGCACAGAAGAGGGCTTGCTCTTGCTTTTACTTCTATTACCTGCGCTAGCTTGGATTTGCCGACTTGTATTTACAGCCAAGGCAGAAGCCACAGCAACTCTACTTGAGAAAAATAAATATGGTTTCCTGAGTGACTTTAAATGAGTTGGCAGCCTAGAATCTATGAGAACATTATGGTGGAACAGGCATCTGAGATGGTGGAGTAACTATTATTTAAAGGTTTCCATCCATTAAATGTCAAAGGAATATCACGAAAACTCCACTGTGACTAGAGGAATTTAGGCCAAATAGAATGTTAAACATTTTATTTTTCTGTTCTTTGAGATTAACTAATAAGAAACAAAACAGTGACTCATATTAATGATATTATGCTTAAGAAAATGCTTGGACAGGCCCTTAACCTCTGTTTCATGGTTATTTGAAAATACCTGCATTAAGAACTAGTTTTTGCATTTTGAGAAGGTAAAAGTTTTCATCATATAAATCATGCTAGTAGGTCCTTTTAATGACAATAATCTTTGATGGAGTGCTCTGAAATTTTAAAAGTCAAGGTCCTCATCTCAAACATCGTTTCTACCTTTAAAACCAGAAAAAAAAACTGGCATTTAGCAGACGCCTTTTTTATGACATCCTGCTTTGAAAAAGTTTCATAGCATAGATGAACTATAGACATTTCATTCAAATATACCTGTAGATACAAGGTTTGAATTCAGATACAGGTGTGGGTTCAAATAGACAGGTCATACACTAGCGAAGAACTTAAAGTGAGCAAAGAGCTTTATGTGAGGAGATTAGAGATTTGTAATTTTCCAAAAATATAAACCCTTAAACTGCAACAATTCAAGCCTCAACAAGCAAAGGCAATGTGCTGAACTGAGGTTTCAAATAATGACTTACCCTGGGCACGTAACATTTCAACGCATTGAGCAACTTACCCTAAAGGCGGTTCCTTCCTCTATAATCGTAGGTAATTGTGAAAGGCAAATATCAACTGCAAGGTCCCATGCTTGCCTACAGAAAAAGGTGAAAGAGGATAGAGAAATCACAAGTTATGCATAAGCAATAGCAAGTTAAGTCTAAATTCTGATTATACAAGAATATGGACCAATCAGTGTTGTCAGACTGGCTTAGCAATTCTTAACATTTCCTCTGTTCAAAGCAAGTCAGATATAAGTGATGTTACACATGAAAACTATTTGAAGAAACAGTGAGAAGGCTGGTCCAGCATCATGTCAGGCTGCCCCACAAAACACCAGCGAGGTAAAAAAACTCCCTAGCTCAAGCTTCCAGAAACTGCATCCCCTCTGTAAAGCGGAGGACAGCTAGACTGAATTGAAGGTTTATTATACACCTGTCCAAATGCAAAAATGGATTTTTTTTTTTAACTAGAAAAATGACCTCAGTCCTGGATTAGCTCCAACCCTTAATCCTTCAGCACAAAACCCTTCATGCATTCAAACTCTAGCTTGCTCTGTGTTCAAGGCACGTGAAAACTGCACCTCCGCCACTACACTAACTCTCCTTTTCAGCATCCTAGACATAGATACCCTCCATAGCACATATCACTGAAAAAGTTACTCAACTTCCATTAATCTAATTTTGAGTTGGGTTTTGCATGGCAAACTTGTTTATAAAGGCATTTGGTTTTTGTTCAAATTAGTCACCCTAAGGATGGAGATTTGTACATCAAAACAGAAGAAGAGAAAATATTTAAAGATTTCAGTTATTACATTTATCCACTATAACATTTAATGGGTAAAGTATAGAGATCTACACTATTTTTATTCAAATTATGTAGAGTGGCTAATAAGTCTATTGCGGTAAATTCAATGCAAACACAAAATAGGATAACAGCCTGCTTCAAAATGCTTGCTATCAAACTAAAAGAGAAATAAACTAAAATAAAGGAATTTTGTTAGTTAGTTCCTAAGCCACTACAAAAAATGTCAAATAGGTACTTTTTACCCCAGAAACCATTATCCCTACTCTATCTACACACATTCCATGCATTTTCATTTTAACGTAAGGATTTATGCATTGTGAGGGGCTAGCGAGTTAAAACACCACCAACTGGGTTTCTTACACGAAAGAAACTAAATCTACTCTCTAGAAACATTTGCTCACCCATAGCTTGGGGCCATCATGTGTTAACGTTAATAGACTAAGCAGTTTTTCTTCTCTAGGAAGATTTGCAGACATAGGGCCATACGTGATAATCAATGCAGTGTATTTTAGTTACCTTTCTAATACGTCCTTAAGTCATCCTGGTCTAAACCAAATGCAAAGACTACTATCAGAACAACTGCCTAGTAAAATCTATCCCAGTAGCCTAACTGGCAGCTGCTGTCAATTAAAAGCAATCTTTCCAATTAGGAGGAAACATAAACTACAAGACACTTGCATTTTCCCACAGATTCAAGAGATGCAGCTTGTTTTATCTGCCCCAGACCTTGTCCCTCTGCTGCACAGCTTTCACCTTCCACTTGATAATTTGCTGCCAATATAATTAAGAGGTAATCACGAGATAATCAAAACACAGGCAACAAACGCTTTGCACGTGCTCAATAAAGACCCACGCTGGAGGTAAAATGTTTACGCAGAGCTGATGAGAGAAATATTTATTCCTGGCTGAGGCAGAGGCAAAGTCAATTAGTACAATCAGAAAGATAATTTTACTTCAAGTAAAGAATGAATATTTCTAACTTTCAGGTGCTTGAAGGGACGGGCACTATCTCCCAAAGAAAATCTCTCGCACTTTAGCAAATGCCAATACACAGTGTCTTTGAGATGTGTTATTAGATGGGAACAAAAAAGGTTTAGAGATCAGAGAGAACTAGTCGTATTTTGGCTGCCTATAAAGATTCTGTGTAGGTCATTATACTGCAGAGGCACAGCACTAAGATGCTGAGCTCCTCAAAGTCATTTTAGGTAAGAAGCACTAATACCACTATAAAAATGTCCAAAGCAGCCTTGCAAGATCATATCTCAAAAGGTTTTAAACATGTTATCAGAAAGAACAAACAAAAATTTGAAAAGAGATTTTAGCAGATTAAAACTAAATCTCTTTTTACACTTCCAAAAACAGGCCCTTAAAAAAAAAAATGTAACCACATAGCAAATGTTATTCAATCTTCTCAAAGAGCGCAACCATCAATATAAAATCTTAGCGTTACCGCTCATCACAGCCTAGAGAGCTACCGATTAACAGGAATTGTGTAAGAGATCCTGATCAATTCAACTCCTCAAAATGATTCTCCAGCCTTTCCGAACTAGCCCAACCTGCTGTTTCTGCTTTATCTCCAGAGCAGAAGACCTCCCCACTCACCGAGACAAGGGAGCTAATAGATGCTTTTGGCTGAAGGGGAATAAAACTACACTATTTCCAACCGCTAGGAGAACAGCTACATGTTACTTACTGGCCTTTGGGCTGTATAATTCACATCTGATTTGTCACACAGCTAACTCACCGCATTGGCAAAATTGATAACTGCGCTAACTAGGCATTCAAAGAATTTAAAGATTCAAAAAAAGACTCAGAAGACTGGTAGAAGGACAAGTGCCACTGGATTTGCACAGAGAAAATGAAGGGGAGAAACCTCTTGTTACAGTCACGGTGAAAACAAAGGTTGTCGGTCATAGGGAGGAAGAGAAGTGATTGACTGTTTCAATATGCCAAAGGGAACGAGAAAGGCAGGCAATTCGTAGATATGCTCTCTGAACCAATATTACACTTTAGCACACAAACAGGAAATAAGTTAGGGAGCAGCGGGGGACAAGGCTGGGTGGCAATGCAGGCCAGAAGTGATTTATGAAAGCCAACCCAAGAGGTCGCCACCTTTCTTCCTCCTTTGTGGAGATTGCTGTTTGTAAAGCGCTTTGGAAAATTTGTTTTCACTACATTAGCTACAAAGAGAGCTGGATAATCCCTCAGCGTTGGTCCTTCCCCCCCTTCCTGACTGCTCTCTCCCCATAAACCGCTCTCCCCCCGCAGCATGATGACATTATGATGCATCTGCTGGGTGATCATCTACTGAAATATTTCAGTGTTTCAGCTTCGGCACATTACACTACTAGAAAAGCACGTCAATGAGATGTGTTTTTTACACTAGGTTGTCCTAGCTGGTCTGTAGGCAAAGCAAGCAGAGAGCGCCTGCGCGAGGACAGGCGACGCTGCTCTCCGCGTGCCCCCGCGGAGCCAGAAGTTATCACCTGCTTGCACCCAGGGTTTATACAGAGTCCTGTCGTGTCAAAACTCACGTGTGTTATAAAACTAACAGAACTTTCCACTCATTTCCTCAAATCCCAGCTGCTTTTTATCTGTAAACTTCTGCATCACGTACTACCAGAAGCCTTCAACGCTCTCCTCTCACCACGAGCACGTCGAGCCAGCGGGCCGCAGGGACCGCGCTCAGACCGCAGCGCGCGAGGCGAACGCTTCCTGCAGAAACTGAGTCTGCAACGCTGCTAACACAGAAAAGTTTCATCCCTCCTAAAGGGGCAATAAAAACAGTCAACCCATACAATACACCATCTATTAGGAGGTGCCATCTACTGCCAACCTGCAGGAGGCAGTAACTCGAGAAGCTGAAGAGGAGCCCGGCCCCACGGACACCTCCCGCAGCACCTTGCTCCCCGCTGCGCGCGCAGGGCGCCTGGCAGCTTCCCTAGCAAAAAGGCAAAAATATCTCACAGCACAGTGCTTTGCTGTGAAGCAGTCTCAGTAAAGAAAGGGGCCAGAGCCTCAGGCTTTCAACTGCAGTAGGATGGGAAAGGAGATACTCGGGTTCAATGTTGAGAAGAACATATTTAGTCCCATGCATCTCCCATATGTGATTTGGAATAAACGTATTGCAAATCCTCTCCTTAGTTGGAAGACTGACTCAATTACAAAACGGGCAAGACAAGAAAATCCTTTTGTTTTTCTAAAACAAGCAAAGCAATGGAGCATGCCATCAGAAATGGTCTGAAAAGAAAACAAGCCAACAGTGCCCTGCATCTCTGTCTGGGCTGATCAATCAGCTCAAGAGGCGCTCGAACGGCCAGATGCAAGCGAGCATCCCGGGAAAGGAAAAGCATTCCGGAATACACAAAAATTACAAACGAAAAGGCATCACTCCTCCACAAGTCTACAATAAAAATTAAACGGGGAAAGAGCTGCCCTGAATTCCATCATTACCTCTCCCCTCCCTTGATAGAAATGTTCATAAACTTGACTTATACTTTAGTTTCAATTCTACGAAGCCTTCCAGCACAAAGTCTCCACTCACGTGTCCCCCCTGCAAACTCCATCTCTCTCCCCTCTTCAGCCCAATACCAATTTCATTATAGTAAGTCTGTAATAAACTTTTAATAATTTAACGTGAATTCATCCAGCTGCCTCTACTGTGTTTCCCCTGAGGTGCTGCAAAGTTTGGACCTTTAAGCAGAGAGCAGAAGGCAGAGTTCCAGCTTCGCTCAATGACTGTTTATTGTGCAAATCCACGAAATGTTCTGTAACAGAAGCCCACAGTAATACTTCAATAGCATAAATGAAACAGTTCAGAGATGTGCCTTAGTCTTTCTTCTCTCACATGTACTACTACATTAGCTGGGAGATCACGAGGCAGATTTTCCTATATTCAACTTAAATTTTCTTGGCTGAATTGGTGTCTGGTGCTTTTAATTCTTATATCACTTTTATTTTTTTTAATCAAGTATTATTGATGTCTTTCACCATTCTCACTTTTTTGGGGAATAGTTTGTACTATATTGCACTGCACAAAATATCAGTGAAAAAATCATACTTCTTACTGAGACTGCCCCGCTGAGGAGTGGCTAAAGGAAAGCTGAAGCCATGTGTAGTTCAGGGGCACCGACACCAGCGTATCTGCTTACATTTTGTATTACTGTATTAACTGTGTTAAATATTTCAGTTTGTATCAAGCATTTTGCACAAGGTTTTCATGTTTGCTTTTTCTGCAGCTACAACTCAGCAACATACCCTGTTTGATTGAATTTTCAGATTTCAACCT